TTAGATAAATTTGATGCGGTTTATGAGCTGCCACATAGTGGACTAAGATAGTCAATTGAATTCCTATAAATAGACATCCACGTAACGTTTGTCTAAGCAATTATGAAAGTAATGTCCATTTTAGATCGAATATCCAACTGTGGAACGCCAATGTAAACTTAAATCACTGGGCGTTAATGTCAGAGCGTAAGTAATCGCATGAGCGCCTAGAGGCGGATGAAATAAGTCGCATAGCACTAGTAAAAGATTAAATGAATCGATGAGTTGATTTGACATTTATTGCACTTGGAATTAGGTTTGCCAATTTGGCGTTTCATATTCAATGATTTCGCGCTTTTGTCGCCCGTGTGTGCATGTGGGAAGTATCTGTTTTAACAGTGATTACTTTTTCATGTGTCATTGGTCTAATTTATTGTATTCCGATTGTGTCTGAATGATTGAAAAGTTCGCGAAAAGGTAATAGGAACCACGGCGACTAGTAAGTGCATTTGAATTAATACATGCAATTTTGCATTTTAACGACAAAGTGGCTATGTACTGACGTAAAAAGTTGCGCGTAAAAAAATACAAAACTATGACGTCACTCTATATGCGGGTACGCGCTGATCTCATAGACATTACTATGTTTAAGAACTTTAAACCTTCAGGTATGAGAAATTTAGAATCCGTGCCCAAAGTATCGTCAACTGGTGGAATGACCCCTTTAACATGGTACCGGTATTTGTCATTGTCATCTATTACGGTACCTACGACGAGAAGGCAGCCCGTGGATTACTGCGCATAATGTAGGCCTACGTTAACCCAGGCAATAACAACAGCTAAAAGGGATGCAGATAATAAACTATTTAGAAAAAAAAAATATCTTGTAATCATACTTTCATTAATATTCATAAGGTAAACTGGATTTTTGGAACTCATTGATTAGAAGCAAGAATAAGAACTCTTTCACATTAACTTATCTAATTATCAACGAAAGTTAGGAGAAAATGAGTAGTAGATTGTAATAGGCCTAATTGTTTTGAGAAATGAATAAGTTACATAATTAGCACAGGTTAAAAAATAGTAGGCATGTTGAATACATCATTTCGGTATTCTTACAAAGAAATTTTGGGGTTATTTTAAGTAGTGAACTACTGCAGTATTCAAGATTAATATTCATAAAACTAGCTGGTAGTCTAACGCCTCAACGCCACACCAGCAGTAACCTGCGCGCCAATAATGTTAGGTCTATATTTTCAAGATCAACGGGAAGCTCTGACTGATAGGATTCGTACGTGGCGTATCATACATCAATTGATTGATCTTGATAATAAAGTAGGAATTATATTACAAACCCTTGAACGGAAGTGAGTTATAAATATTTTAATATTTCGTGCAGTAAGAAGAAAATAATTCATAAGATTATATTGGTTTTTTCGCATCCTGCCGGTTCTTTTCATTCTTTATTTACAGCATGCACGCGTTTGCCACCGTATACATAAACTGCTTATAACGGAGTACAGTAATTAATGTTTTTCAATCAACTCCAGAGATGGAGACAGGCAAAACAACAAAGTACAAAAGGCGAAAATGATGGAATAGCCAGGTCGTCATGCATCATTGAAATATAGTTAAGTAAGTTTATGTAACCTGCCATATGTCGATTGATGACATTACACGATCTCACTAAAAACATTTAAATATTTAATAATGCATTCATTCATTCATCCATCCAATTATTCAAACCGTCCATCCCATAAGTCTGTCCTTTCAATTTTTTTCCAGTTACAATTTCAAATATTTTAAAATTGGAAATTCTGGCTTAGCCCCCGGGGAACCGCGGCATCCACAGGGAAGAACCAGTACCGACATGTTATAACAGATACATTGTTCCTTATCCCGCCTAACTCTCATGCTAGGGTTATTCGAGGCGAGGAGCATAGCGATCGCACTCTCATTTAAATCCGACGCTGCTCGGGTTTGAACTAGGGTCTGCAGCACAAAAAGAAGGAGCTTTACTTCTTGGCCAGAGGCTCAGCCGATATATTCGATGCTGAGCCTATTTATAACCTTTCCAGTGTGCCCAACCTATCTTCTCGTTCGTCCATTCATGCAATTCATCTATCTATTCATTCATTCGTATATATATATATGTATATATATATGTAGGCCTATATATATGTATATATATGTATATATATATATGTTATATAGTATATATGTATATATGTACATATATATGTATATATGTATCTATTACATATAATAGATAAAACTATACGATTAGGGTACTGTATAGGCACATTTATGTAATGAAAATTTAAGATAAGGTGTTGATTTGCCACAAATTTTGTTTGAAAATACAGAGAAATATTATTAATCATTGAATGTGCTATTCATGGCGGTCTATTTGTTTAAAGACGTGTATTAGTAACATGTTTACTGTTTGATTAAAGCCTATACTTTTTTATTTGTAGTCTTTATTCCAAGAAAATTAATCATAACCAAACAAGGTAAAAGCTTCCTGAAACTTTGTGTATATGGAACAAAATTTTGCTTCGGGCTCGCACATCTGCGCGCATGCGTTAATAGGTCACACATCGAATTTACAATAACAAAAGTAATGGGTTTACACATTTTAAATTTAAATTAAAGAAAAAAGAACGTCAGTCATTAATTCGTCATATTTAAAAAGATGACACACAAATGAAAATTAGTTGTACGCACCATGACTCATTTTGCGTACTAATCACGTGATTTATCGAATTGAACTGCGCATGATCAGTACAATAAGCGAGGCCTAAGTCTCTTTATGTTTTGATGTTAATATGGTGGTATGTCAGGTTGGGGTCAGAAGAATATTTTTAATATCATCAGGAATATGATGTATGTGTAATTAAGGCATACATAAATTATAATACACAGTTACACTTTTTTCCCTCAAAGGGTATTACGTAATATACAACGGAATACTAATATATCACAATACATATTAGTCCTAGTAACTTTACTCCCTGCCTCGCATATTCCATTTCTTTTTCTCCTCTACTGTCAACCAGCTCCTCGACTTATAATTTTCTTGTTCTTTTATATATTTAATGTATACACCTTTCCCTTTTTGTCAATATTATATTAATTAAGTAGATGTGTACGGTATGTGTTTCTGTCCAATGGCACGAAAACTCCAGAGTGATGCAGTTACTACCCTAGGTGGCAAACGTTTAAATTAAAAGTCGTTTACATATTTAGGCCACTTATTTTACAACTGATCTGAATGATGATTATGATATATCACGGAAATAGGTCTTTACGCGCAAATACTGTCAGAAGACGATTCTATAAGTGCACAGATCAAGTTAAATGCATTTTTATTTAGGAGCTATTGTACTAATATGTACTGCCTATGGTCCAGCTACAAACACAAAAGCATAGATTCTTTAAGAGTTTGCTAACAACGCACTAAGGATACTCCTAGGCAAAGAAATGTTTGTCTCTTGTGGTACCGTATATACAATATATAATTTATCACTTTCTAAACTCTATTAGAGACACTTTATCAATAAAGCCTCCAGCCTCTTTTGTAAATAATGAACAAATTGTACGTGCACCATGGTGCGACACTAATTAGGAATTAGAACGGCAACCATGTATATATATATATATATATAATATATATATATAATGTATATATATATATGTATATAGGCCTATATATACAATTTGTATAAAAATCAAGATAGCCGTTAACACAGTTAAATAATCAAAATAATAATGGTCGACTTATAGAGCGCATATTATGGAGACCTCTATGCGCTTAATATATAAATCATCAAAGAAAGGTAATACGTCATGTGTTCAAATAAAGGACAAATTCTAGACCGCCTTTGGGACCTGAAAATTTGGGGTGGTTTCGGGGTTGGACTCCTAATTAGAGGGCTATCTTTGTGTTAAAAGGTTGAACATTGTTATTTGGGACTCGAATTGGAGGGGGCACTGTATTTCTAATAGTTTTCTAATGGTTATGACGCTCGACTTGACAGCGAGAGGTCGCAGGTTCGAATCCCGTCGGAGCCATTTTATTACACAATGTATTTATTTATAGGACAACATTCTTTGAGTGCTATACACACACACACACACACA